GTGGGGCAGCCGCTGCAGCAGAACATTCCGGCTGTGGGGGTGGGTGGCCAGGGTGCTGCCTGGCACCTGGACTGGGGAGAAGCCCCTCTGAGGGGGGTAGTGAAGACAAGATGGTCCCCAAGGGCTTAGAGGAGGGACCCCAGCTTCTCACCCAGGACATCACTGTGCACAGCCAGGGTTTGAACACCCACCAGTGCGAGGGGGTGAAGAGAGAAGAGGCCAGGAGGAGGATCTTATCTTGGTAGGGTGGGGAAGCTGGTTCCTGTCCCCTTCTCTGGATTTTTTGAGAGCATGTAGGGGGACGCAGGCATGGGTGGACACATGTGAGTGCACAGGCAGGGTGGGCATGTGTCGGCATATGTGGTGTACAGAAGGGTGGGTGTACAAGGGTGCACAGGTGGGGTGGGCACATGTGGGTGTATAGGCGGTGGTGGGCACCACGCAGGGGTGGGCACGAATGCCTTGGTGACCAAGGCCGGAGGAGGCAGACCTAGGCGGGCAGGCAGGCAGGCAGACAGCGGTGTGGTCAGAATCCCGGCTTTCCTCCTCCTGGCTGTGGCCAGCCGGGTCCAGATACCGGCTCCCTCCAGTGCCACATCTGCCCAGGCCCCTTCCTCTTTGGGAGCCCATCCTCCCCCACTGCACATGCAAGCTTCCTCTTTCTTATCACATCCTCCTTGGGCCTTGGGGGAGTTGGCAGCCACCCACTGTCCTGTTTCCTCCCCAGGAACTACTCCAGGCCAGGAGAGGAAGGTCTGCGCCAGCCCAGGCCCGAGGCCACATTGCCCCGCTCCCTGCCTCCATCTGTGCAGCGTCTCCCCGCACCCCTTCCCTGTGGGTCATGTGCACCTCTCTCTGCGGAGCCTGTGCCAGGGCAGTGTCTGTCTGGGCCTGGGGTTCAGAACTGGGCTCAGGGGTGATCGTCAGACCACTGAGCGGGGCAGCCAGTGCTACCCCAAACAAACAAAAAAGCCAAACCTGCTGCCGTAGTCGGTCCCAACTCATAGCAAGTAGAACTGCACCACAGGGTTTCCAAGGCTGTCAATCTTTACAGAAGCAGATTGCCACATCTTTCTCCCCCCGGAGCGGCTGGCAGGTTTGAACCGTGTACCTTTTGATTAGCAGAGAAACTCACTGTACCACCACGGCTCCAAGGAAGCATAAAAACATCCCTGACCCAAAGCGCCCCCACCCCACCCCACCCCACCATCTCTGTCTCAGGCAGCACTTCCGCAGCCCCGACAGGAAATGGGCTGGAGGTGCAGCCTCCCGCCATCAAGCCATCTCGAGACAACTTCTTGTTTCCCTATTGCCCTGTGCCAGCCGTGGGGTTGTGCCCCTTGGCTCCACCCCCCCAGAACTTCCCAAGGCTCCGTCCCCACGCAGAGGGGACAGGATGGTGGACTTGATTGCCAAGCTGACCAGAAGGCAGAGTCGGGCCCTTCGAGGGCAGGTAGGGGACCCTAGCATTAGAGGGCAAGTTCAGCCTCTGTTGGGGGTGGCCGAGGGGCCTTTAGGGATAAGGGGACCCCTGTGGGCCTCCATCCTCTAGCCCTAGGGTGAGCTGGGGACTGGGGCAGGGGTCTTATGGAGTTAGGACTTCTAACCTCTCCTTCTCTGAGGCCCTGCCTGTCTGAGAGGAGGGACAGGGGGATGCTGAGAGGGAGTAGGCAGCTGGGGGAGGAGAGGCAGGGCTGCCACTTGCTGTGGACAACGGAAGGAAATTGGAGATAAGGGGAGTGCCACTGTCAGGAAGTGCTGGGGGGCCGGCAGCTGGGTGTTGTGAGAGCCAGACCCCTCTTGGCTCTGTCCTTTGGCTTGAGGTGGGGGGCCACTTCCTCTTTCCCACTCATTGTCCCTTATGTCTCTTGGATACGACTGGAGTCTGGGCGCCAGGAGTCCTTGGTACCCTAGTCAGGCCTCTGTTGCTGGGCTGTGTCTGGGTTTTGCCTGGGCCTCCAGGAGTTGGGGGCAGAGGCCCTGCCGTAACCAGGGTGAGCGTCCCCTCCGTGCCAGAGGTGCAGGAGGGCCTGGCCCACCTGGCCCCAGGAGCTGGTCAGATCCAGCTGAGGCTCTTCCTGAGAGGAAAATGCCTCTATCCTAGCACTGTGGGGGCTCTGCAGAGAGCTCTGGGTCTGAAGGGGCCTCAGGGATGCAGCAGTCTGGCTCCCTCCACGGGGCTGCACTTCTTGAAGCATCCATAGCAGGGGGTTGGACTCTGCTTGCTTACCTCCAGTGATGGTCACTCTCACTACCTCTTGAACCTGCCTGTGTCTCTGGGGTAGGTTCTTTAGAACGTGTTTCCTTCAAAGGGGCACTGCCCTGCCCCCATTTAATCTGGATTGTGGAGTCCCACAGTGTGACTCTGCATCTTCGTTTCCTCGTGACAGCTCTGTCACCCTGGGGGCCCATGCTTCTACCTCCAGCATCTCCTCTATACCTGCTGGGGGTGTTCTGTGTGCGAGATCCCAGTCGGCTCCACCAGCCTAGCTCCTTCGTTGGCTCATCCACCCACCATGGGTCCTTCCAACCCCTGCCCCAGGGATAGGCACGGCCACCGCCTCAGTGGGTCCAGCTGGGGTGGATAGAGGTGTGTCTGGTTCGTCCGCCTTCCTCCACCACCTGCCTCCATCCTGTCCTCCCAAGGCATCTCCTGGTTTCTGTGGCTCGAACCCTCATTCTCAGAAGGTTCTTGCTGAAACCTAACCTAAGCCTCTCCCCAGTCTCGGGTGTGTTTGTATGTTTGTTTGCTGCTGCAGTTTGCCATAGGATTGACTTGGGTACGGTAAGCGTTTTGGTGGATCTGCTATGTGCTATAGGGCATTGGAGCACCTGGTGGCAGTGACTGGTGGCAGGAAGTGGCCCCCCCACCTCAAGCCAAAGGACAGAGCCAAGAGGGGTCAGTTAGTCAATCTGGGTCTTGCTCTCCAGTAACTCCTGCCTTTCAGGGCAGAGAAAGTAGGCAAATGGGTGAACAACTTATCAACTACCAAGGCAGAATGCCATTGGGCCCTAACAGAGACAAGCAGAGGGCCAGAGGGTTCCGCCTCCCTTAGGAGGAGGAAGGCCTCACCCAGGAGAGGTTTGGGAGCAGAGAGCCAGTGGATGGGCAGGGTTTGGGTAGGGAGGGACTGAGACAAAAGCATTCTAGGTCTTGGGAAGCGTAGGAGCAAAGGCACAGGAGGTAGGCAGATGCCTTTTGTGTTTGGGGGAGGGTGGGCCGTCTGGTGTGGTTGGAATATTGGATCCTGCATGAGGGCTACGGTGGGAAAAGAGAAAGGAGAAGTGGAACGGAGCATCCTGTCTCCACCACACAGGAGCTTGGGCAGGGGTGTGTCCCCAGCTCTCTCTGCCCCTATGTGCCAGGGGACCTGCCCCTTCACAGCCTCCCCTTCTAAAATGGCAACACCTTCTTCTCTGACCGTGTTTTGGTTTTCCTCCTTAGCAGTGATCATCAAATCATCATTGATGTGCTTGCTATAGACACACACACGCACTAGAGTGTTGGCCCTCCCGGGGCAGGGATTTGTGTCCGTTTGTTGCATTCCCAGTGCTTTGAACAGTGCCTGGCACAGGGCAGCGAATCTTTGTTGGATGAATGAATGATTTCTTAGGTGCCTGCCTAAGGCCCTTGAGTGGGACGTGCTTCCCCTCTCAAGGAGTTTACAGCTTAGTGAAGGGGTCACAATCAATGGAGAAATGTCTATGATTTTTTAAAAAGGTTTATTGTACGAATTTTTGAGGTTGCAGGGAAGTTTAAAGAAAAATAAAAGAAACAAAACACAAATTCAACCCGTGTAATCATACTGCCAGAGATGGCCTCCGTGAGCATTTTGGAGGGTTCTTTTCAAACACAAAATTGGGATAAAGCTAAGTTTACCATTTTGAAATTTGCTTTTTCCCTGGAGTATTATATATTCCTGGAAAATAAAATTTCCAAGAATAAAACAGGTATTCTGTTGTCTGGTTTCTGATAATGTCATTTTCCCTCCCTCTAGTGAGGGTGCTGGACTGAGTGTGGTGGGCACATGGGAGGGACAGACCGAGTCACCTCCCCTGGTCATGGGAAGGAATTCTCAGAAAAGGTCTTGAACCTGGTACCTGAGCTGAGTCCTGAAGGAGGAGTTGGAATCAGCCAGGTGACAAAGGAGCGGGGTAGGGCCTGGCAGGCCTTGAATGAGCTAAGGCCTGAAGGAGACACAGCTACTGGAGCTTAAAGTTCAAGACAAGGGGCAAGGAGCAGCAGGAAATAAGGTGGGAAGCACAGGCAGGTGATGGAAGCCTCTTGTGCCCTGTTAAGTCTTCGACTTTGCCCTGCAGGCAACTGGGAGCCATGAGAGGTTATGCGGGCGAGAACCACGATAACACTTACATTCTGTGCCACCGAACCTCCCAGCGTCCCCTTGCTTTCTTTTCCGAGGCGAGGGGTACTCCTCTTTTTTCCCCCTCATTCCTCCCTCCCATGACTTTCATCACTCCTTTCCTCTCTCCTTGTCTAGAATTGATTCTGAGGCCTGCAAACTTCACCTGGGGAAGTTCCAGCCCAGGCTTTCTGGGCTGGGAGGGAAAAAGGGGTGGGACTTGCAATGGTGGCTCCAAAATGTGTACTTGGCTCTAGAATGGCAGGGCCCTGCCACCATGTGACTTGAATGAGGTCCACAGGAAGGTCCCAGGCTATTTCCCTGTTCTCTGAGTGCACTCGAGTACACAGCTGTGAGAGCTCTGTTATCTATATTTTATTATTGTTAATAATTAATGCAATTTTCCCACACATGTGGGGCACTTCTACTTTACAAACTACTTCAAGAACATTTCCTCACCCTCTCTTCACTACGACTTCCAGAGATGGGTAGGATGGAATTTTTACAGCTCGGGGACTGAGGTAATGTGACTTGCCAAAGGTGGCGCAGGTGCCAAGAGGCTGAGTCGGTGCCAGAACCCCTAGGCCTGTGTGACCCTGGAGCTCTCCCGAAAATCCTGTCTCCTTCCTCCTCCCGCAGGTGGAGGAGCCCCCGGAGCCCGTGTACGTGAACGTGAACGTAAAGCAGCAGCCCCGGGCCACCTCCCCGGTCGCCACCGTGGCCCCTCGCCCCGGCTCGGTGTGGGAGACGCTCACCGACGCGGACACCGGGCGCCCCTACTACTACAACCCAGACACGGGCGTGACGACCTGGGAGTTGCCCTTCGAGGCTGCCGAGGACGCCGCTAGCCCGGCCACCTCTCCGGCCTCAGTGGGCAGCAGCGAGAGCCTGGAGGCCGAGTGGGGCCAGTACTGGGATGAGGAGAGCCGCAGGGTGTTCTTCTACAACCCGCTGACGGGCGAGACCGCCTGGGAGGACGAGCTGGAGGGCGAACTGGAGATGCAGCCCGACCTGAGCCCCCGCAGCCCCCGGGATCAGAGGGTGAGCAGCGGGGCCTAGTGTGGAAGGGCGGGGCTGGGCGAGGCGTGGGCGAGACTGGCTGTGGGCGCCTCTGACCCGGCCTCTGCTCCCCAGAGCTCCAGGGACCAGAGGGTAAGGGGGTGGGGCCGGGCCTGGCGTGAAAGGGCGAAGCCAGGCTTGGTATGGGTGAGACTGGCTCCCAGAGCCTCTGACTCCACCTCTTCCTTCCTGCAGCCTCCCACCCCGGAGACTGACTACCCAGAATCGCTGACCAGTTACCCGGAGGAAGACTATTCCCCTGTGGGCTCCTTCAGTGAGCCCGGCCCCGCTTCTCCCTTGGACGCTCCCCCAGGCTGGTTTTGTCATGTCGGCCCGGACCAGCAGACCTTGTACACCAACCACTTCACCCAAGAGCGGGTAGGGGCATGTGGGCAGGTGGGCCCAGCTCCCACGGCCCTGTCTTCTTTTCAGACAGCTGTGCAGGAACTCTTCTCCCCAGCTCTTCCTCACTCATTGCTGCCCCTCATCAGGCTTTGTGTAATGTCCTTCCCTCCCCTTAACACTCTAAACTGCAGCTCCCCCACAGCCCCAGCCAGCCCAAGACACTGCAGTTATCAGCACTACCCACCCCCAAACTCCCTGGCACTATCTTGGATTCTGGTTGGAGGGAACTCTTTCCTCCTCTCTCATGAAGTGGGCCAGTGGCCCTGACCATCTCTGTCCCCACAGTGGGTGAGGTTGGAGGACGAGCACGGGAAGCCATACTTCTACAACCCAGATGACTCCTCTGTTCGGTGGGAGCTGCCCCAGGTAACCAACTGGGGAAGGGAGAGTGCTGGGGAGAGAGGAGGGGGGTTTTAAATGACAGTGTCTTTCTCCCCTGGATCCCCTGGGTGGTACAAATGGTGACACGCGCCGCAGCTAACCAAAAGGTTGGAGATTTGAATCCACCCAGAGGTGCCTCAGAATCAGACTATGGAGCACAGTTCTACTCTGACACACATGGGGTTGCTGTGAGTCGGAATTGACTCGATGGCAACTGCTATTTGTTTTGTTTTCTCTCCTAGGTCCCTGTCCCTGCCCCTCGAAACATCCGCATATCCAGCCAGAACAGTGACACCTCAGCCCAGTGCAGCCCGCCTGAGGAGAAGGTGAGGGGGGCATGTAGGCTCTGGCAGGGACCCTCGCAGAAGAAGTAGGGGGTTTCTGGAGGTCCTGCGGGGCAGGAGCTGGGTCTGGTGTGTCTTTCTCCTCCACAGGCTCTAATACTAGGCTGGGCTGAATGAACCCAGGAGTCTGGGTCTGGCCAGCCACAGAATTGGGTGAGGATGAAAGCTGGGTAGACATGTCTCCTGCTGCACTGCTGCTGCTGCTCCTACTGAGGCAAACACCCTACCCTCTACCACCAGTCAGGTGGCTGGGTGGGGTAAGGAGGTTTCAGTGGAGACTCAGACCCAGACTGTGGGGAGTTGCTGGCTGAGGAGAGACCAACCTCTGCCTCGTGTGGTGCACCCTTAACTGCCTCCTCTTTCCCCTTCTCTCCCTAAGATCAAGACTCTGGACAAGGCTGGCGTGCTCCATCGTACTAAGACAGTGGACAAGGGAAAGCGGCTCCGGTGAGAATCCGTCCACACCCAGGGCAGGGTGGGCCTTAATGGTGGTGCTCACTGAGCGCTGCCTATATGCCAGACTCTGATTCGTCCTCATAGGGACTTCGTAAGAAGTCCCATGAGGAAACTGAGATAAAGTGACTTGCCCAAGGTCTCTTGGCTACCAGGTGTTAAGAGTTGGGAGTCCAACTCTCACAGTTGGGGGCCCCAGGCTGTGTTCTCAAGCTCTGTGCCCTGCTCCTTGGGGTGGTTAACACTGGAAGGGGGCCTCAGCCCAGGCTCATCTCCCAGCCCTGTCCACCTCCCACCCACCTAGGAAGAAGCACTGGAGTGCCTCCTGGACAGTGCTGGAGGGCGGTGTCCTGACATTCTTCAAGGACTCGAAGACCTCAGCTCCAAACAGCCTGGTGAGGCCCAGCCCCCAGGACAGTGACCACCCCATCTGCTCCTGATCCCAGTGGGTCTTTATCAAATCTAGCTTGTCAAGAGCTAGGTCTGGGACAACAGAGTATGAGTGTCAATGAGCTGGGTCTTGCAGAGAGTGGGCAACGACAGCAGAATCAGCCCAGGACAAGCAGGTCCAGCCACCTTGGGGCTGGAGAGCAGTCCTTGAGGGTGGACTGCTCCAGCTCACAGTGATGGGGCTGCAGTCCTTCCTCTCTTCCTTTCCTGGGTGGGCAAGCAGCAACGGACAAGCCAACTGATAGGCTCCATGGTTAAGAAGCACCAAGATCTGTAGGTTCCAGGAACTCCTGGGCCCCCTCCCCCAGAGCCATTGCATGGCCATCAGTGACCCCATTCTGTCCTTGGAGCCAGAGGGAGACTGGTGGGTCACAGCCAGGGTGCTGGGGCAGGACTGAGCAGAGGGCTCTCTGTAATGGTGCTCCCCACCCTTCCTCCCTCTTCCACAGAAGCAACCTTCCAAGCTCTCCACCCCCGAGTACACAGTGCAGCTGAAGGGGGCCTCTCTCGCCTGGGCACCCAAAGACAAATCCAGCAAGAAGAATGTCCTGGAGGTGAGTGGTGGGAGTGGGGGAAGGAAGGAAGGAGTTTGCTAGTGGCCTGGTACCCTCATTACTAGGAAAGCCCCATTGGAAGAAGGGACCTGGGAGAGTTGGAGTTGGAATTCTCAGGGCTCAAGGCCAAAGCTGCCCCCATCTCAGGGATCCACAGTGTTTCTGGCATCACAGATTCTGTAGTTCCCTCTCTAGGAGCTGACTTTGCCTGTTCTTGGCCCTGAGAGTGGTGAGGAGTAGGGGTCTCTGGGAGATGAACCTCTGTCATGCCTAGAAGGCAGCCCTCACCCTAGGCACCCTGGCCTGAGAGAGATAGGAGACTGCTCTTCTCTGGCCACTCACTCTGATTGGGTGGGGTGGGAAACCTGCTCTGGCTGCTCAGAGCCCAGCTTGAACTGGACTGGGTCCCCAATAAATAAACCTAGGCAGTGTACATGCTTCTCAGGCTCCTCTAGAAGGAGGAGAGGCCAGTAGGGCTCAGGCGAGGGTCCTCACAGTGCCACACCCTTCACAGTCCGACTTTTGTCTTGTTTTTAAATACTCTTATCCCCACCTCAGTCCCTAAAAGTTTTGAGGCTGCTCACAACAAAAACACAAATTGTGAACTGGCAAAATACAATGAAAAGCCAGGGTCAGGCAAAATAAGTTAGAGAAGGGGTTAAGGTGAAAAGGATTTAGGGGGTAGGTGACTTACAGGTGCTAAGATTATTCCTGAAAAAAATGTAGCTCCAATTTTCCTGGTAGCCAAAGTGAAAAGAGAAGGGTGATCTGTTACATGACTCTTATTGAATAAAAATAAAACCTATACGGACTTGAAGGGAATCAAAGCTTTTTCCTAGCCCTTCACTCTTGAAAAAATTTCTCATGTGCAACTCCATGAACATGGGGTCTAGAGGGATGAGGTCAGTGCCCTGCAGAAGAGCTCCACAGAGGTCTAGAGCTCTCAGGGCTGCTTCAAGTAGCCCATGATGCTGAAAGCCAAAAAGCATGACCTTACATCTCCACTGAGAAAAAGGACTTCTTCAAGGAACCTGGGTGTGTACTTTTTGATGACTGACCGAGCTTCATGCAGTTGTAGAACCAGAGTATCCACAGAGCAGGGCTGGAAAACTGGTTTCATCTCATAAGCTTTTCTGAAGATCTGGAGCCTTTTTGAGAAGAATTCTGGAGCCTTCTACAAGCATGGCAGGGTAAAGTGCTGTGATCAGCTAGCAATGTCTGTCATGGGTATCAGACTGAAGAGGGACATCACATTTGCTAGGCATGTTCCTTCCCTGACCTAGAGGGACGTCCTCCAAACAATTCTCTGTAAATGTCACATCTCTGATGGCTTTTGATGAAAGTTTCAGAGTAGACTCTTCTGCATTATCTTTTCTGGCAAGGATTAGAAGGCAGATGGTACTCTTGGAAGCTGCTCAAGCTGAAGGGAAGGTTGACAGTCTTGAATGGAATCGAGGGGTCCCTGCCTCCCAACTGGCTGGAGACCATCTACCCTCCACTCAGGGATGCCCTCTGTAGGCAACACAAGGGTTTTTCTTAAGAGACAATGCAAAATTCTATATCATTAAGGCTGACGTGGCAGTTGGGCCTGGGAGCTTCTCACAGCAGGTTTTCCTAGTCACCTTAGAGCCACAGAAACCTCCAGTTAACAGTCCCCTGAGAACAGCTACTTTGGGCAGCTCACCTTGCCTGTGCGTTTGCCAGGATGAATGTTTTGTGTCATGTACTGCTCTGTAATTATATAGCTCTGCCTTCTGTATAAAACTTTCAAATATGAACTGATTGTTTTGAGAAAGAAGCCAAAAATTATGGTTGTTGGTTAGAATTGTTGTTCGGCCATCCTCTGGGCTAACAGCAGGGCTCTTGTCTCTTACGTTAAAGTGAGGCTGTGTTATCTGTCCGTTGAAGGTTCTCTAGTCTTTGCAGTGGGGGGTAGGGGAGTGTTGTTAGGTGCCACTGAGTCAATTTCGACTCATAGCGACCCCATGTGACCAAGTAGAATTGCCCCATAGGGTTTTCTTGGCTGTAATCTTTATGGAAACAGATCGCCAGGTCTTTCTCCCACAGAGCTGCTGGATGGGTTCGAACCGCCAACTTTTTGGTTAGCAGCTGAGCGCTTAACCATTGCACCACCAGTAGATCATGAAATTTTTCCTTTTTTAATTTTTGAAAGCACTTTAAATAACACTCAAATATAAGTTTAAAAGGAAAGCAGCCAAAAGACAGTGCTCTCGGATTCTGGAAATTGTTCACTGTTGTCTGAGACAGTTTCTGCTGACTCTGAGTCTCACTGGACCCAAAGGGCAGGATCGGTGTGAGATGCCACACCAAACATCCACATTAAACTTGAACGCTTGGTCCTCAGAGCCAGAGGCTGAGGACGGAGCCATCTAAATGGCCACCTCATTCTTCAGAGACTTTGTAAGGGAACGTGGACGCTCAACAGCAGGTGGTGAAGAGCAGCCTGGGCTGCTGACGTCTGCTTGTTCCTCAACAGTGAAAGGAATGGCTGGAAACCTAGCCTTAGGGCTTCTTAAGGAAGAATATGGCCTATGGTCTGGATGGAACGTCCAACAGACTTACAGGGCTGTGCTTCCTCCAGTTGCCACACCTGCGCTCTGTCCAAACCACATGTGCATTTCCTTGGAATAAGTGCAGATCGGTTGGTCACCCGCAGCCTGCTAGTTCGAAAGGGCTTGGCTTCGAGTAGGCAGTCCTGTGGCAGAAAGTTTCTCCCTGGCGATTGGTACAGTAAGTGAACAGTAAGAGGATGCTATGCCCAGGCTGGAGTAGGGGAGAGGGTGGGACTCTTGGCTGCAAAGGGTGGGGCAGCACTCCTAGGTCCTCAGCATGTATAGGTGGTGAGCCCTTGCTTTCTCCAGAATCAGCCTCAATTTGCTGTCAAAGCCTCTCTCCCTGCATTTTCCTCACTGTTAGTTCTAGTGGCCAGGCCCAGGGCCTCCCACAGGGAGTTTCTTTCACTTAGTGTTTTGCCGGCCAGGGCCCTGGGTAAGGCTGCTCATGGAGAGGCAGGATGGAGCAGGGGAAGGCAAGGCAGACAGTGAGCCATGCAGACCTACACTTAGATCCTTGCTCCATCGCTCACTAACTGTTGCCCATGAGGAAGTTGCTTAGACTCACTGAGCCTCAGTTTGTTCATCTGTAAACCCGAGATGCTATCACCTACTGCTTTAAGTGAGGTGGATACCTGCGCCTGAGGTGAGGCCCTTGCACCATTAGGCTCTGAGTTCCTGGGAGTAGGGACAGGTCACCTTCCTCTCTGGATCCCCCACAGGGCCTAGCCCTGGAGCAGGCTCAATGAACCAGAGATGACCAAGTGACTTGTGTCCCTCCAGCTGCGGAGCCGTGATGGCTCGGAGTACCTGATCCAGCATGACTCGGAGACCATCATCAGCACCTGGCACGAGGCCATTGCCCAGGGCATCCAGGAGCTGGTAGGCAGGGGCCAGGGCCTCCGGGGCTGGTGGAGAGGCGGTGGCCAGCCATCGTGCGAGACAGCTGTGTCCACTGTGGGTGGGTGGCAGGGTGTGGGGGAGTAGGGAAGCTTTATGGCTCCAATGGGCAAGTGCCCCTCCCTGCAGACACAGTCCCCCTTCTTGCTGAAGAAACAGCCTTCCTTAAGTACGTGAGTCCAGCCCCTGGGGTTTGGCCCTTCAGGAGGACTCTCCAGATGGAGGTGGGGGACCACCAAGTAGTCTCATGCTGTCCTCCTTGGTTGTGCCTCCCCCCTTGGGGTATGTCCCTGATTTCCACTGCCTATGACTTCCATCAAGCCCTTTGGTCTACTGTTTCCTCCCCTTTGGTGAGCACAGCCCCTTCCCTTGAGCTCCCCGGGAGAGCAGAGAGACTGGAACTGTCGGGATAGACTCTGCATGAGCCTAAGGCAGGACAAAAGGGAAATGAGCCCCAGGGCACAGCCTGGAAGGCACAGGACAGTGGGCTGGGGACCTCCAGTCAGTGCCAGGAGAGTCTTCCTCCGAGACCCCCAGGCCTTGTTGGTGCCCTGAGTGACTGGCAGACTGGTACAGGGCACAAGCCCTGGCCTCTGTCCTCAGGTGACCCCCCACACTCCGCTGCACAGGCCCAGAGGTGCCAGGACAGGAAGCTGACCCTGCACTCCCCACCGCCACCCTGAGAGTGAACCCAAGCACCCATGCAGGGCCCTGTTTCTGGGGGTCTGTGTTCAATGCTGCCTCAGCTCCTTTCCTCAGCGACCACAGGTGGGAGGGTGTGAAGACGGGCAGGTGAGGGGTGGGAGCCCCAGTGAGGACTCCGGTCTCCTGGACAACTCCCCCAGAGAGCTTGAATCTATGGGGGTGCTTTTGGCCACAAGTAACAGAAAGTCCTACGCAACTGGCTTAAAGGATAAGGGGTTTAATATCTCACATGACCAAAAAAAACAAAAGCCAAGGTAGGACAGCTCTAGGGTCCATGAGCTTCACCAGCTTACCTCGAGCTCTCTTCTCCGCTCTGTCTCCCTTGGCATATCAGCCCCCTCTGCAAGCCAGTGCCCCTCGTGGTCCTGGGCTGGCACAGCTTCAAGGGTCACAGCCATGACAGTGCCCAGAAGCAGGGAAAAGGTATTTCTTTTCCTTGTTTTTCCAGAGTCTGCCCTCCCATCGCCTCCAGGTGAGGGCAGTGAGACCACCATGATCAGTTTAGATTCAGCTGTGGAGCCACCACCTCTAAGCACATGAGCCACAGAAGTGGGAGGATACACAGACAAAACCGGGTTGTTAGGGAGGTGGAGGGGCGAGTGACTGCTGGCCAGGTACCTGAAATGTCTGCTCCAGGAATGACACAGGGCAGGGGATGTGGGGGTCTTGGGCTCTGGAAGTTGTACACCTTTTTTTCTTCCGATCGTTAGATGATAAGAGAGGAATTTGCCATTTCAAAGGAGGCAGGAAGAGAGTAAATACCCTGAGAAACAGCGTCAGGCCAGAATGACAACTGAAGGTAGAAGACAGAATTTGTATTTGCGTCTACCGTCTTTTAGGTTTCAAAAAATCAATTGCATAAATAGAAACAGGGCAGGCCCACTCTGACCACTATTTGTCCTAAAACGACTGGAGACTTTTTGACCCCTAATTCCCTATGAGCCAACACTGGATGTAGCATTTGGCTGTATTAATAGAGGTAGGAATCCAGATCTAGGGAGGTGATGCTGGGGCAGTTGGTGGCAGTGCTCTGGCCCCAGCTGGAATCACAAACTCAGGACTGGGAGCCATATATTGAGAAATATTGACTCAGTGGAGTGTGTACAGGGGAGCTGAGGAAGATATGGGTAGAAGAGGTCAGAACTGGGAGGTGGGTAGGGGTAGTGAGGGTAGGAAAGCATCCGGGAGAACGGGATGGCTGTCTACAACATCTGAAGGGCTCCATGCATCAGGGAAAGCGAATGCTCTGAGGGTCCCTGGTGGAGGTGAGGGGAATTAACCTGGGTAAGGAAAGGAAAAAGCTTCCTCCCCGCCTGGGGGTCTTCTGGCCTGGCTTGCTGGGAGGGCATTTCGGGTCCCTCTCCCACTCCGGAAGGACCCTCAGCTCTGAGGATGCATGATTCCAGTCCGTAGACTTGCCCCCCGAGGAAGAAAGTGAGAGCTGCAGCCCGGAATTCGGATCGAGTGAGCGCCTGGGAAGCTGGCGGGACAAAGAGGGCGACGCGCGGCCAGGCGCAGGTGTGCGCGCAGGGGCGGGCGCATCCGGGAGCCGTCGGCTGGGGGCTGGGGGCTGGGGGCGGCGATGCCGGGGCTGGGGTAGATGCCAGGCCAACCCCAGTGCCTCTTTGCCCTGCAGCCGGGGGCCAGGAGAGCGATTTGAGCAAGGTCCGGCACAAGCTCCGCAAGTTCCTGCAGAGGCGGCCCACGCTGCAGTCGCTGCGGGACCGGGGCTACATCAAAGGTACCGGCGGGGCCTGGCGGGCTGGCGGCGCGGGGCGGCCGCGGGGCGACGCTGACGAGCCTCTCCCCCAGACCAGGTGTTCGGTTGCGCGCTGGCCGTGCTGTGTGAGCGCGAGAGGAGCCAGGTGCCGCGCTTCGTACAGCAGTGCATCCGTACCGTCGAGGCCCGAGGTACTAGCAGTGGCGGGCCGGGATTCCGGGTGCCTCGAGGGCTGTCTCCCAGGATCCTCTATATGAGACCCCTGGGTGGGGCAGGGTTGACAGGGAAAGAGCAAGAGACCTCAAGGATCATAGGATAGGCATCGTATCAGGGGCTTTAGTGCCATCCTGTCCCACGTGACCCGGGGTCAGCGCCTCCCTCTGCCCCAGGGCTAGACATCGACGGGCTGTACCGCATCAGTGGAAACCTGGCCACTATCCAGAAGCTGCGCTATAAAGTGGACCACGGTGAGACCCGTCCCCAGCCCCTGCCCAGGGCCGAAGGAGCGAAGGGGCACTGACTCCCCCC